TCTCAAATCCTTCACACTCCATTCTTGCATTATAACTTGCTTTCAATTTCCAAATTAACAAAAGATAACAATATTTCTATTTGTTTTGACTCCTCTGGTTTTCGTATTAAGGACCAAACGACGCATCAAACATTGCTCCAAGGACCCTGTGAGAATGGTTTATATCCCGTCCGCATCCCTCCGTCATCCTCTTCTGACGTTGCACTGGCTGCAGTAAAGGCTACCACAGTTACCTGGCACCATCGGTTGGGTCATCCCAATGACCGTGTTCTTACTTACATTGCTAAATGTAACCCGTCTCTTAGTATACGAAATGCTCAATTTTCATGTTCTTCTTGTCAGCAAGCTAAGGCTCACAAACTTGTTTTTCCAAATTCTATTACTAGGCATTCTTCGATTTTGTCTTTAATTCACTGTGATGTTTGGGGACCGGCACCTGTGCCTTCGGTTCAAGGTTATCGGTATTACGTTTTGTTTGTAGACGATTACTCCAGATTTTCTTGGCTTTTTCCTATGAAATTTAAATCTGAGGTTTACAATATTTTTGTTCTCTTTAAAAATCAAATTGAAAAATACAGTTCCCAAACTATCAAATGTTTGCGATCCGACGGGGGAACTGAATTTCTCAATCATGATTTTAAATCCTTTCTACGAAACAATGGTATAGCTCATCAGGTGTCCTGCCCATATACTCCAGAACAGAATGGGGTGGCCGAACGGAAGCATCGCCACATTATCGAGACCACCCGCACGCTTCTCACAACTGCTTCGGTCCCATTCAAGTTTTGGCCCGATGCCGCGCTCACAGCTGTTTATCTAATTAACCGGCTCCCCACTCCAAACATTAACCAGCTCACTCCTTTTGAAATGTTGCACAACTCCAAACCAAATTACTCTCACCTTCGGGTATTTGGATGTGCTTGCTTTCCGTTATCCCCACCTCATACCAGGCACAAACTGCAAAATAAATCCAAACTCTCTATTTTTCTTGGATATTCGGATACCTACAAGGGCTACAAGTGTTTGGATCCCGTTACAAACAAATTTCTCATGTCCAGAAATTTAACCTTTGATGAAAATCAATTTCCCTTCAGCACGTTCACCACTGACTCACACACTTCTACAGACCGAGCGAGGCGGGCGAGCGAGGCGGTCGCGGGCAACGACGCTGGCAGTGATGCGGGAGCGCGGTGCGACGCGGGCGAGCGAGGCTGTCGCGGGCAGCGACGTGGGCAGAGCTGCAAACGGGTTTCCGGGTTGACCCGACAACCCGCCAGGTCAGTCTGAACCCGACCCATTTTTTAAACGGGTCGAATCCGGGGACTCGGACCCGACCCGTTTTGTCGGATTTTCGTATCGTGTCAAATATTGGAATTTTTATTGCGTCATCTCACCGGCCTGACAAAGAGATGCGTCCTCCCACCGCCAAAAAACTCGGTTTTTGCTCGGTATTGCTAGGTATTATTTGGTAATAACGAGGAATATCACATGTGAAGACCAATACCGAGTCATACCGAGCTATACCGAGCAATACCGAGTTATACAAAAAAAATATCGAGTTTTTTCTAGGAAAAACTAGGTATTTTTTTGTATTGCTCGGTATAACTCGGTATTGGTCTTAACATGATGATATTCCTCGTTATTGTTTGGTATTGCTCGATATTTGCTTGATATTTCTCATTTTTTAGCGCGATTTTAGCTCTGGGAGGACGCATCTCTACGTCAGGTGGGAGGACGCAATAAAAATTCCAAATATTGACACCCCTACTCCAACCAACCCACGGGCCCAACATGCCAACGCTAAAACCTTATCATCCAAAACTGCACGTCATTTGAAGCAGATTCAACGGCTGCGATCCATGCCGCTTTGACTTTAATTTTGTTCCATTGCTGAAAAATTGTTATTCTGGTCCTCATCAACCAGCAATAGCATGCATCTCCACGTGCTGCAGGCAAACATTTTTTTTTGGTTGTCAATCACATGGCACGATGACTTTAGTAAATAAAAAAAAAATGGATAAATAATTATTGTGTGAGAAATATAAATCATTATATTTTCTCTCTCTCTTATTATTTTTTTAGACTTTTTGATCAATAAAGATAAAATCATTAATCATGCATAAATCATATACGCAATTTTCATAAATTCAATACCTCTTGATTGATAATTAAGACTTAATTTATGAATGTTTTCTTATTGTTTCTTAAAGTAGCTTTCTAGAACAAAAAATCAATTTTTGTACTAGAAAATTAGTTTAAGAAGTAGTTATGAAGGCGTTCTAAATGAAACATAAAGCTCTCAACCAATAGATCAAGATAAGTAATTTTGTTGATATAGAGTGCTCAATAATGATGAAGATGATAATTATGGCTTAATATGTGAAGCTAAAATGAGAAATCAGGCATTTAATGATATGATCATGTTATTTCTTATCTGAATTGCCATTAAATTATTTGCAATTATCTAACGATATATGAAATTGTTGTTGTCATGCATGAATTGTTTCATGAACAAAAATTAATAATTATTGATTATCTTGATCGGGCATAAATCTCGATGTAAAATCAAGTTGGAAACTTCCGAAATTAAAATTGAGACCATCCGAACTCCGATTTCATGAGCAAACTTATTGTTGAATTGAGCGTCTCGAGAATAAGAACCCACGACACCAAATCCAACCCAATCTGAGCTCAAACGGGTCCAAATCAAGTGTTAGAGGTGTTGTTGGAAAGTTTGAACCACAATTTGGATTACCAAACGGTTTCAAAACATAACGTGCTTATAGTCGAATCGAGCGGCTCGATGAGAAGAATTCAACGAGCCCAAAATCACAGAATTTTGACATCACTAAGACATTCAAATGTCCATCAAACGGTCAATGATCAAGGGATTCAACATCGGCCGTCCATCCAACCACTCCCCATTTACCCTTGATCTCTCACCTATTCACGAGTTATGACACTCCAAAAATCTATAAATAAACCCCACATTTCTCTTGAAAAGCGATCTAAGCAAGAAGAGAAGAGAAGAAAATGAATGAGAGCAGGAAGAAGCTCCTTATCAACCACCGCCTGAGTTCCGCCAGACGACGTCGTTGCTCCGCCAGGTCACCACCTCAAGCCCTCACCTTCTCCGGGTCACCACCTAAGGCTCTCACCTTCGCCGGACCACCACTTGAGGTCCTCACCTTCGCCGGACTACCACATGAGGCCCTCACCCTCGTCGGACTACCGCCAAAGACCCTCACCTTCGCTGGACCATCACCTAAGGGCCTGAACTCCGCTAGATCACCACTTGAGGCCCTAAACTCCGCTAGACCATCAACTAACGCCAAAATTTTGCCAAATCAATGTCAGAGTACTAACTGACGCCCCAACTTCCAAGTGACACCAAATTTAACACTAGACTTCAATCATACAGTTGACATTTGTAATCTAATTGCCCTCAAGGAGAGTCAGCTCACTGTACTCAACTCAAATTCTAGTGAAATATTTTCAACAGGGCTAGGCCCTGTGGTTTCCCCTTTCTAGTATTTTCCACGTAAAAAATATCGTGTTCTCTGTGTGTGAGCTGGATATCCGTGCAACACTAAGACGTAAAATTACAACTCTATCGTCACATATATATATTCTAGCCCGCAACAATTGTTATGATCATATGTGCAAGACTTAAGCAAATTTAAATGATTTTATATAGATGAAGGATCGAGTCCGTGTCTATATTTATAATATTGCTTAATATATTAATCAAATGCATTTCAAATGAAGGGAAATGTTATGTTTTTTTCTGAGAAAAAAATATTTTCAATTATGTTTCATCGTAGATATTTTTATTTAATCATAAATCTCCAAAATTGTAGATACGACGCATATTGAAAAGAAATGCCTAATTAGTCTACGTCCGATTATTATTATTATTATTATTTTTACCGTGATGGGTGAATGTTTGCAAAATAGCTAGCCATGTTATGTTTTTTTTTTTTTCTAATTAATTTGAGCCTGCAACAGAGATGAGCTGGCGGCCTACGGTCAAGGAATCGAAACGGAAGATCTATTGACCAAATATTTTTTAATGAAAAAAATAAGTTGATCATTAATTAAACAGATTAACTTTTAATATGCATTAGTGACGCCATCTCCAAAGAATATTTAATATTAGAAGTAGGGTGTCAATATTTGACACGACCTGAAAATTCAATTCGAATTCGACCCAAAAATTTCGGGTTCATGTTCAAGATTTTAACCCGTTTGTAAAATCAGATTGGGTTCGGGTTGACCTGAAAATCCGAAATCATTCATGTTTGATCCATTTTTAATTAACTTAGGAGAGTTTTAAAAGATTGTTATGAAATAAGTAAATGTTATTTTAAAAAATTAATGAATCATGTTGCCCAAATTGAATTGAGCTTGATTTCATTTTAAATTGATTGAAGTAAATTTTATATTAATTTGATTAGATAAATTGAATTAAATAAAAAAATTAATAAAATATACCCGAAGTGGGTCGGTTCAAGTTGACCCTAACCCGAAGTGGGTCGAACAACCCGAACCTGAAGCGGGTTGGATTCGGGTCTGAAAAACGGACCCATTTGTAAAAACGGGTTAGGTCAAATAGTGTCGAGTCAGTCCGGGGTTGGATCCAAACCGACACGTATCCCGATTTTGACAGCCCTAATTAAAAGCATGAGAATGAGAGAAATTATTATGTGTAGACTTCGGGAGTAATTTTATGTCGCAAAAATATACTACAAATTTTTGTATACATTATGCATATACTATATACACTTATATATACAAATGTGCACAATATAATACGTCGTCAGAGAAATATTTAATTTCTTTTTGTTATGTGGGGATCTATTATTTTTACTAAAAAATAACTCCAATCCAAATGTTATGATGTTTGGTCGTCTCGGCATTTGCAAGTTGCATCCTCATATTTATCATCTCCCCATTAATAATTCATTTCTCACCCTTCAATTATTTACTCACAACAAGGAAGAGCCTTCTCCAAAAAGAAGACCAGCCTGGTTTTTCTGACCTCATAAACACACAAAATCCTTCTCTTCCCCACTTGTCCAACTTACCATGCTCCTCCTTTAGTCTCTCTTCCTCACTTCTCCTTCTCATGAATCCCTTCTCCTTCTCAAACTCATCTATTTAGGTCACAAAAGAAATGGACAGTTTGTTCTATACCTCTTTTGGTTCTAATGAAGATTTCTCTTCCGCTTGTCCCTCCTTAGCGACTGAACCCGTGAAGCAAAGAGGCGACTTTGAATCTGGCTTCCACTCCAAGCATGAGAGATCAACTGTGGGGTTTGAGGAAAATGACGAGTTGATTCATCTAAAGATGAGCGAAACTGATCCAATGTTGACAACAACAAGAAAGACGACGCCTTTTCTCCTTTGGCCCAATTCTTGCTCTCCTGCTTCTAATGGGGAGAAAATGCTGACCTTTTCTTCGCCAACACCAGATGTCATGGCGTTCAGCAGTTGTGAGGCCTTACCTTACATCAGGAATTCAGGTAATAAGAGTTGCTAAAGTTTCTATGTTTTGACGGTGGGTTGTTAAATGGAGTTGCTCATTGTGTTCTGTTTTTAAGGACTTCGAATCGGTTTTATGGCTTGTTTTTCTATTCTGTTAGTTTTTTTGCTCTCATGACCGATGAAGTTGAAATCTTTCTTTTCATCCATTTAGTACTGATGGGTTGCGTTATTTAAAAGTCTCTTATCACATTTTTTCCAAAGAATAAATGAAGCCGGTAAAATGAATGTGATAGCTGACAGGAAAGATAAACATCAAAAGGAACTGCAATGTTCTTGTTTTCTTCCTCCTAAAAAACATGGTTTCGTTGTTGGGGTGAAATGAATTGAATAGAAGGGGAGAGCTTTATTATTATTATTTTTTTTTGTGGTAACTCTGATGACTTTCTTGAAAAGTACTGGCAAGCTCCTTCTCACTATTTTCGTTATTGTACTCAGGCATGTGCTATGGAAGCTCTAATGTAAGCATGAATGGGATTGTGCCTGGGTTTAGAGGTGCCTTCACTCCATCTCAATGGATGGAACTGGAACAGCAGGCTCTGATCTACAAATACTTAGCTGCAAAAATGCCAGTACCATCAAGTTTGGTCATCCCAATCAGAAGAAACCTCAATCCGTCTGGGTTCCCTTCCTTTGCTTCTGGATTTTATAGAACAGGAGCATGTAAGGCTCTGCTACCCTGAGTATAAGTACAAGTGCGGTAGTCACTATGTATGATATATCAATGCTTGAGCATTTATTTTTATTTCAAGCTTGTTGATTGCACATTATTCTGTCACTTCCCTTTTATTTTTAAAATTTTCAAGTGAACTCTAACAAGTTGGTTTACTTACGAATTATGGTAAGATATATTTTGAAGCTTTGTGTTTGCAATATGAACACAAAATTAAGCGATTCTATTCCAAGCATTGAATTCTTTAGCTGAAAAAACATTAGCATACTTTATTAATGTTTGATAAAAATGGATCGTAACTCAGAAGTATCGATTGATGTCTTAAATTTTGTGTTTGCTTGGTCTAATTTTGTTGCCTTATCATAATCCATATTTTTTGCAGTAGGATGTAGTTCCTTTAATCTGGCTTTTGCTAGGAATGCTGATCCAGAGTCCGGCAGATGCCGCAGAACCGATGGAAAGAAATGGCGTTGTTCCAGGGATGCGGTTGGTGATCAGAAGTACTGTGAGAGGCACATGAACCGAGGCCGCCATCGTTCAAGAAAGCATGTGGAAGGCCACAATGGCCATGCTGCAAAAGCAGCTATGCCTACCCCCTCACAATCAGCATCGGCTGTTTCAAGTTGTTCATCTAATAATATAAATAGTGCACATCAACAACAGATCAAAAGCTTGCAGTCATGCATGGAAGAATCATCACCTACACAATTTGATAGGTTGTTTACAGCTTTATTTTCCTTATTTATTTCTGGTTGTATTTTGTAACTAGTCTCTCCAAGCTGTGCTCTAAATAAGTCGTCACATATTTAAGAAGCATGGTTTCGAGCAGGAATCAACAAAATAGGTTGATTCTTAAGTAAACTTCTAAAATTCCAGTTGGCCTAAAATTTACTTTGATTTTTCCTTAAAAATATTGCATACTTTGCTATAAGGTCAATACTGCAAATAGTTTGAAAGAGTTTCTTCACTCTTTACTTTGTTGAATGCCATTTGAAACTTCATTTACTGAATTGTTATAAGGCATGTAACTTTATTCCATCAGCTGCCTAAAAAGTAAAATGCAAACAAGCTTCAAAAGTTGGATTGCTTCTAAAGGCAGTTCTGTGAAGTGGCAATGAAATGTAAGAATATTCACTCTTGTATGCTTTCTCTCCTAATGTGAGTACTCAAATCGCTATGATGAAGATAAACTGTATGTAGTAACGTTTTCAAGATTTAGTGGTCTGTTGTAATTTCTTGCCTTATAATCACAATCTTCATCTTCCTTTTATGAGATATCTGAAGCAATTGTGCAATTTTTTACTGTTCAGAGCTACACTTGGTATTCATTCTTGCCTAGCCAAGTGTTAATAAGTTTATATATACATGCGTGGTAACATATACATATATAATTTATATGAATTAGTAAGTGGGTTTATATTTGTGAAAAAATTGTGTTTGACTGAACAATTGAACAAGCTAAACACAATAGAAAATTGTGGGCTCATTTGCTTTACACGTTGTACAGAATTACACTTGAACTAATTCAAAATAAGCTCTTTTGTACTCCTTTTTGCACTCCTGTTTACATTCTCTTAGCCTTTTCATACATGAGATATGCCAAACTTATATAACATGTTTATTGGTGTTGTTTCTTGATGATTACACTGAAAGCAATTCAAAATTTCTCTTTTATGCTTACAGGTTCCTTATGAACAAAGGGACTGAAAGTGAAAGAGCTCAGAATTCCCAAAGCACTTCCATACCGACCAATTTATGCTCTGTGTTCACAGACACCTTGTTCCCCATATTCAAACAACAAACCTCCTTTGAAGGAACTATTGTTTGCGCGGACTTTGGCCTGACCTTACCTGATTCCCCAAGTAACCCTCCAAGAAGCTCTGACCCTGAGAAATTAACTTGTATGCTTGCACCTAAAATGCAGGATCAACAATCCAAATCTCACCCCCTTCTTCATTTCATTGATGATTGGCCAAAAAGCCACTCTAAACATTCAACCATCACCTGGCCTGATGTGAATGAAATGCACACTGACAGAATGCAGCTCTCTATTTCAATCCCTATGGGCTCTTCTCACTACTCTTCATCTTCTTCCTCACCCAAAAAGTATAAACTGGCATCATCCTCCAATCCTTTGAAAGAAGGTAACAATAGACATTATAGTTGGATACCAGTTTCTTGGGACCCTATGATAGGTGGACCTCTTGGGGAGGTTTTGAAAAACAAAAGTATGATCACTGAGAACAATAGCATGAACAACTCATCTTCTCCACTGAACTTGCTGAGCAACGGTTGGAATTCAAGCCCTAGGTTGGATTCATTGCCCACCGGAGTGTTGCAGAAAACTTGCTTTGTTTCACTGCCAAGTAGCACAGGGAGTAGCCCGCGAGTAGAGAGGCATAAGGCTCATGAAGTTGATGACCTCGGATTAAACGTTGTAAATCTGTGGACTATTACCATGTTGTAAGCTTCTCAGACAAAAAGCATCTAAGATGATGTGTAGAGAGTAAGAAAACTAGAGGAGTCCATTATATTTTTGTAACTTGCATTGTGGCTGGCTTTTAAATGTCCACACATCAGTAGACTATGAAACTATTGTGTTTGAGTTTTTAATTCTGTGTAACTTCTCACTGATACTCAAGAGATTATGCTAGATCTTCTGATGAGCTTTTTCAGACGTATTTATCAGCAAGCTTGCCAACTCTGAGCAACAAAAAAATCTATCTGATTGATTTACTTAATGCAGATTTTTACTGCAAAAGCATTTTTAGAGAATCCATCATCTTCTGCACCAAATTATGCTTCCCATGAATTTTCTCCTACTAACTGGAAATGCGTTGTCTTTGGATTGGCCTTCAGTTGTCAGGTAATTACTTCACATTTGTCTGTTCTTGGTGATGGTCTCATGAGAAGCTGAAGCACCAAATAGAGAATTTAAGTGCTATTTTTTATGTATAAATTGACTTCCATAATGGGCAAAATCTTATTCGAAAATTGAGAAAAAAGAAAATCTTCACACAAAAATAAACAATATTTTGCAAAGTTTATCCAATTAAATCTAGCTTTGTTTTGTTTAATTTTTAATTAAAAAAGAAAAATATTTTTAAAATAAGGATATTTACACACATAATATTGGAATCTTTCTTATTTAGACAAAAAAGTTAATTTTTTGCACAATCAATAAACAAAAATGCACGCCTAATTTTGTTGGCATGCATGCAGCATGCCTACATTGCTGAACCCTGATATTATCTCTACTGAACATTGCTTTAAAACTCTGGTATTCAAAATTTGTAATATTAGATAGGAAAATACGATTATAAAAAAGCATATTCATATTTGTTATGATCACGCCAGAGATTCTCGAAATCTTTACATGATTGCTTTTCTTAGATAGGATACACTGTGGACTTATTTATAAAGTTATGAAATTATCATCTCTTTTCACATAAAAGCCAAAGTGCAGGGTATTCTATTTAGATAAACCTTCTTAATATCCCATCTTTGGTCAATCCACGCTGATGGTAATATTGCAAAATTTGTTGCATCTGCGAAACAAAAACAAAGCCAAAATGTCTTTGTTTCTTTGGGATTTGTAATGCCTCGACTATTTTTAATGCCATATTTGATGCTCTAAACTTAACAAAAATTTCTTTTTTTTCCTGCAACCTGAAAGAAGGGAATGCTTTTCTTAGCTCCTCGTTCAGATCTCTAAAGTCTATACTGTTCCTCTTTTTTTTTTTTGGGAAAATTAAAGGGATTTTCCCCACGTTCATTGATAAGAAAAAACTTCATAGAAACCTCCACAGGGGAGGTAAGAAAACCAAAAACACCTTAACTGCTAAGATTGAACGACAACCTGATGTGCTAACTTCACCAAGGAATCCCGGGACCTGCAAGAAAACAATGAAGCTGAGAAAAGATAATAGAACTTCAGAGTTCTAGGAATCGCAAAATGTTAGTATTCTTTTTCTAACTTGTTTCAGTCCTTCCCTGACAATATATGCCTCAGGGTTCCTTTGCTATAATTTGTAAAAACAACTAAAAAGCTAGCATGTGCTATTGTAGCTAAAAGACAAAGATAGTAGTGGAACTAAGGAATTATAATAAGTAGTGAGATATCAGAGAGGTGGTCGCCTTCCTCCCATGTGGTTGAGTCCGCGTCCATGATGCACTGCATCACAACCTCAAAAAGCTAAAGAACAAAACTACCAAAACGACTAGAGGCAAAAACCGCAAAGCCTTATTTCCCAAAAACCAACATTAAGAAAACCAACCTCGTTGCTTAGACTAAGGATCGTCCATTGGGCACAATGTCCCTAAAAAATACATAACAAATAGAAATAGCCCAACCAAATGATACTCTGCCCCAAAAAATATTATGTGTGGAATCTGATTATGTTGATCAATTTGCTTGTTTTGTCGTGCTCGCTGAGGGGTGCAGGGGATTTACCCCTGCTTGGATTCGGGTTCTTTGCACCTAATTTTTTTTCCAGAACAACGCCATGGCGAGTATTTTTTTTCTTTTCCGTACAACGTCGTGGCACTGCTTACTCGAGCGCCCTAATGTTGAAAGACATAGTAGAGCACCGCAGCAATCTAGATATGATGCCGTAGCGAGTCAAGACTGACTGAGCACTACAACGTTGAGTGTATGAACGATACAGCATTGTCAAATAGAGATTGGGCACTAGCGTCGCAGCACTGCAAGACAAACTAAATAGTTATTTTTCTTGTTTTTCTCAAGGGTTGTGTCCCTTGGGGATTATAACTTACTCTCTCTTGTATTTTATGAGAAGTTAGGACAAGAGCGTGAACAGTGCATGTGAGAAGAGAAGCAAAAAGAGTGTGAGAGAGAAGAGAGATATGTACTTATTTCTCCAAATTCATAGTGAATTTCTTGGTGTAGTGTGGGTTAATGGTTTTTTTTACCTATTTTGAGTTTTTTCACGTTAAATCGTTGTGTCCTTTACTTTTTCGGCTTTTTTTACTTTCTTGCTTTTTTCGTCATTATTATTGTTTACTCCTTATCTCACCCCCAACAACAAATACATCTAGCAGCAAGGTAGTAGAGGAGGAAATGGATAACTGAACCAAAGCATCCAAAATATCACTCATTAGTAGCTAGAATAAACCCAAGATCCACAAAGCCTACAAGGTTGCCATGACAAAGCCTTGGCCGTCCAAGTTGGGATGAAGGCAACCACATCATCGTCCACAACAAACATCAACAGCTAAGCCCTCATGAAACCAAAATAATCATAGAGGAATGAAGGCACCGGCCAGCAAAAACAATCTCCAAAATACTAGAGAAGATATGTTAAAAAACCAGAAAAGGCATTGGAATAATAAGCATAAGATTTTTCAACTACTAATCTTAGCTCTAATAACCTAACTTAACAAAATTAAAGAAGTATTGATAGAAGAGTGAGCCCCCATATCTTTTGCAATTCATTTCTCTCCAAATATAGTAGATAGAAGCACAAATAGCCAAATAGTAATACTTTTTTGATTTAATGAATAACTTGTAGTCCCCAAAAATGCAATTGAAAACTTAGCAAATATTAGGTTTGAATTGAAAAATAACAGCTCCAGAAAAGACATATTTTAAAATGCTGAATGAAAATCACATTTATAAAATAAATGAGAAATAGATTCATCACTGCAGTTACAAAAAGAACATATAGGGATAGTAGGAATTCCCCTAAGCTTAAGTTGATTAGCAATTTTAAGCCCAATAACCAAAGAAAAACAAACAACAAAATAGAACATCAAACAAAATCTTTTATGCCGAAGATAATTATACTAGTCAACCTCTTCATAAAATTTATAAGAATCATTAATAAAGTTTCTAAATTAGGATTTTCCATATTGTTCTAAAGAGAGATCTTTCCCAACATAAGTAAGAGAGATGGTAGAGTTAGAGTTATATAGGGAGTAGGACCAAACATTTGGAACAACCCAATCCCTATTGGAAATAATAGCAGCCACAAGAGCATTAGAGGGAAACGCAACATTAGAACCAGGGAAGCCAGAGAGTTACTATTACACCAAGGATTCCACCAAAGAGTAATGTCATTGCCATACCCAATCTTATAATAAATATTGAATTTAATAGAAATAACAACTTTAACCAAGTGTTTCCACCAAGCATAAGCTTTACCAGTGATCGATTTCCAAAAAGATACATAAGAATTTTTAAACTAGCAACTGAGGAGGGATTTAGAAGAAAGGCATCTCCAAGTCAAAGAAGAAGACAAGGCATGAATTAAAGCAGAAATAGAGGGAATCCCAAGACCACCATAGTTCTTAGGAAGATAAGTTTTCCTTTAAGAGCTGAGATTCAATTTTTTGCCTTGAATATCACCATGAAAAATAAACCTGGCACAACATTTATCAATGAATTCACAAAAAGATTTATGTAAAAAAGAACCTCTAATCCAATGGAGTTTAGAGTTCTAAATACTAAATTTAATGAATTGAATTCTCCCAGCAAAGGATAAAAGCTTAGCCTTCCAACCCTCCAACATCTTAAAAACCTTATACAATTTAGTTTCAGTCTTTGTATTGCTTCTTTAATTTTTCCTTAGGGGGTGAAAACTAAGGAAATTCAGAGAAGTATTAGATACATTCCATTAGAGTGCTTGACTTATGTTTGTGGAAGCAATTCTGTAAGTTCATGGAGAAGTGTATATGAGATCATTGAATCATCCGGTGATATCTTTTCTTCTTGACTTTCTTTCTTTTGTGCAATTAATAAAAATGAATATGTTTCACTTGTTATTTATATATGGATAAATTCTCTAGTTTTGAATTGATGGTGTAAATCAAATATGGAGTACTAATGAGTTCTCTTCATTAATTATTCCATGATGTTTTCAATTTAACAGATATTTATTTAATGCACACAATGGTCATATGTGTAATTAATATCAGATGTAATGTGGATCCTAGGAATATAAAAGTAGGCACAACTAGGTATGTTGGATTAGTATGATACAAGCATAGGCATAGTGCTTGTCATGTATCAAATTTATAAAGATGAATTAACATGAGAGGGCTTTAACAGTACAAGCTTTATTTACTCTTCTAAGATTTTCATAAGGTGATAAACTATGGGAGTTTAGAGTGATTTTTTTTGAAGTTGGAAGAGTTTAATATATCTTTTGTCTTTTCATGTTTGACTGAGCGGTCGGTGGTGCATATGCTCTTAATATCATCAATATAAAAGAGAATCATTAGGAAACATATTATATTTACATTCTATCAATTCAAAATAATTTATCCCAATAGTGTTTCATTTAATTATTTGTTATTTTAAATTAAAGTATTGAATCTCAATCAAAACTTATTTTATTGAGTAAGATAATTGTTGTACTTGAAGTAGACAGTACTAGTATTTACATGTAAGCATTCTTACTCGTGGGATCGATACTCTACTCTATCACTATATTATCTGATTCGACATGTATACTTGCATATATTAAGTGAGATTTTTTATAATTTTTATATAAAAAAACTTAAATATTGTTTAGGAATTAATAGAGTCCTATATAAATCATTTTCATAATTTTTTAGGTTACTCTACCGCCCCCATTAGTTGTCAAAATGAAAATCGGGGGATAGAGTTAACAATTAAGTAATAATTATATATATATTTAAATTTATTAAATATTCATATTAATATTTGATAAAAATATTAAAGGGTCAGCATCATATTTGAAGAAATAAAATGAAAGACCATAATTTAATTTTGGTGGAAACTCAACCCCATTTTATAATAATACTATATATATGTGTGCAGACGAGTAGATAGGGTCGGATGACTCGCATCACTGATCCGAGGAAGATGGTGAGGTCCTGACCATTAATTTTAAATTTCTGTTAGAAATTTCTCCATCTGGGTACTTTAGCAAGTTGAACATGTTTGATAGATAGTTGATGAATCCAATACAAGGCTTATGAGAGACTATGTCAAGGAAACAAGTTTTATCTCTTACAAATTGTTTCATGAACTTAAACATGCTAAAAGGTTTTTGTGTGTGTGCGATTTGAGGAATTATAGTGGCCTCCGTAATGGAATTTTAGCAGGTCTCCTCACTCTTTGAATTATCTCATATTTTGCAATTTGAAAGTTTTTAATTTATCTCTTGCATATTATGATGTTTAATGTATTATTTTAGTAGTACAATTTTTAAAGTTTCTTTAATAAAATTATGGTAGTGGGTTCATTTTTTTTAAGTAGTAGATTTTATAAGCTATATTTTAGATAGAAAAAATTCCTTTGTAAAATAATAACCTCTTTTTTCATTTCTTATATCTAAGATATCATTAGATTGAGTTTTGTGTCAATGTTACTTTTATGTCCACCTAATGAATTGGTTTCTTTCTGGGGTACTTAAGAAACATTGTATAAATTATGTTCTATATCTCTTAGCTTGGAGCACATGTAGCTTATTCAAAGATTAATATAATCAATGGTCTCTCATGAACTCCATATGTCTTGTTCTTTCCCAAGTTTTTTTGTGATTATTGATCAACTTATTCCATATGATACAATCTTGTAAATACTTTAAAAAGAGATAGAGAGTCAGCTTTAGCGGCAAAAGATAGGATAGGTACTAAGCAAAAGATCAAAGAAAGGGTTTCAAGTTTAAAATTTGAGGACATACTGCTAAGAGTATTTCACCATCGACACTTATCCACTCCAGCTGGAAAAATTATTGCGTCCTCCCACCTGACGTAGAGATGCGTCCTCCCAGAGCTAAAATCGCACTAAAAAACGAGAAATACCAAGCAAATACCGAGCAATACCAAACAATAACGAGGAATATCATCGTGTGAAGACCAATACCGAGTTATACCGAGCTATACTGAGCAATACCGAGCAATACAAAAAATACCTAGTTTTTCCTAGAGAAAACTCGGCATGTGCTCGGTATTGCTCGGTATAACTCGGTATTGGTCTTCACATGATGATATTCCTCGTCATTACCAAATAATACCTAGCAATACCGAGCAAAAACCGAGTTTTTTGGCGGTGGGAGGACGCAATAATTTTTCCTCCAGTTGACATGTTCTGCTTCTGGTTCAACCGCCTCACTTTTTGCTCTGCACAATTGCTTTGTGTTTTTTTTAACTAACCAGGGCATCTTGGTCATTTCAGTTTTCTTCTTATAGTTTTGTATATGTCTAAACATTGCTATAGTAAATAACATGAAAAATGTTTTGCTCCTCTTCTATAAAGCGTTTTCTGTTTCCGTTCTCTGAAGCTCAATCCATAAGCTTCTTTACCTACAACATTACATGACTGTTTTATCAATTTTTTTTTCTTTCGGAATGGATGTAGTGCTTATTTTAATTACTTGAAATTAGAAAAAAATATTTAAGAAAAAGAAAATTTTGAGTGCAGTATGATGAAGATGGATTTTTTATTTTTAGATTTATTTTAAGAAATTATAAAAATGAGTGACCAATCAAAATTAAATTGCATTTATTTCAATAAGTTTTTGAATCATTCAGATTAAAAATTTAACCAAGGTATTTTTATTAAATGTTTTGACAAATAATACAAATTTGTCTTTAATTTTTTGTACTAATATATTGCATAGATTATTTCTATTATATTGTATTCAAGTCTTCTTTCTAATCATCATTCCATAAAGGAATATTTTTTGAAGGAAATGATATTCTAATGCATTATTATGTGATACTTCCTATATGAAGAAAATGGTTATAATAATAATATAAAAATGGTTATCATTTAAAGAACTTAAAGAAAGAAAATCCCTTTAAAATGACGCTAACAATAAATAATAATAAAAATATCAACACTTTGTGATTTCTTATTACTAAAATTTTAGATGTTATTTTAATCTGCAGTTATTTATTTAATTTTTTTTAATTTGATCTTATAAAGATTTTATATTGATTTTAAAACTTTTCTTACATGCACAAAATATATTTTATTAATTTTTAAAATTCAATTAATATTAAAAAATATGCACCAATGTTGACTTCATTGACCAAATCTCTAATTAAAATACAAAATTTTAAATCAACACGTTTATTTATGTTTAATTTTTTTAGCAAAGTGCATTTAAACTATTTTCGTAAACACCTGAAGTTTACTGAAAGCTAATTTCAAAGAAAATTTATTGCAAGTTTTTTATTCGGTTGATTTTGACTTGCATCAATGGATTAATTATTCTATGCAGTTGTCAAATGCCATCCGGAGACCAACCAGAATGCGCCAAACCACCCTTTCGCTCGGTAGCGTGGCTCGGTAATGCTCAATATCGCTCGGTTCCACTGATGTGATGCATTTTGATTAATCTCCGGAAAATTTCTCACATCAATTAGTATGTGGGCTCCTGAGTCCTGAAGGATGTGTAAGATAAGCTTTGCCAATTCGTTCCCCTAAAAGGTATTTAGGAAATGCAGACAAAATCATTCTATAAAAAATTGCAGTTTTCTGTTTTGATCGTATATCCTTTAGCTTTATCATTTTGTCCAGGTCTCCGACAAAAACACTCGACATAAAATTGCTCCTAATTTTATGGCTGACCGTTGCTTTATGAATGCCTTGCGATCCATGCAATTTCGCTTTCAGATTAAATCTGATTCTCCCCAGAATTTATTCTTCTGTTTTTCATGAATCAGCATATCCAATTCTAGAGAAATTATTCTGTGCGGAGACCGGATGCAGAACATAATCCGGAGATATTCTGAACGGTACCACGCGTTATAGAGCGAAGGGGTGACATGACATATTATGATTGGTCTCTGAACGGTGTTTAGCGTCCGCACAGAATAATTAATCCCAGTTCTGATCCGATCCCCAACACAGCAAATAGCATGTATGGCTCCATAGGATTCTTTGAAAAGAACATTCTTTAATACTTGTCTGCATTCCTAAGAAAATATTATCATACTTTTCCCTTTTTTTCCTATTTTCTAATTTCTAGCCGACAAATTCATAACTTCCCAAAATGAAATAAAAAAAAGAAAAATAAACATTTCAACTATTAAATTCTGTTTACACAGTTCAGAGAAAAAAAGAAAAGAAACCTAACAGCTTCTAATTAACTAAAAATTGTTCATAACAGTAACAGCAGCTCTAAATGTTTCCAGAGTGAACCAAAGGCAACAACAATATGAATCTTCCGAATCCATTTAAAGCTGAGACAAGTGATTATGTGAGCTATTACAAGCTTAAGTGTTACAACAAGCCATTGAAAAAGTTAAACATCCTTTCCAAATCCTTTAATAATGTCTGATAAAAAATCACCATTGCAGTGGTCCACAGAGCTTGTTTTGCCCAGCAAATAGTGCCACTGTAACTTCAGCTTCAGGTAAAGCCACTGTAACTTATTTAAAGGACCACTTCACCATGTGCTGAAGCTCAGAGAAAATACAAGCTCACGTGTGCTCCACTGACCCAAATTATATCTTCACTTCCTAATAACACGGGCCTACTTCCAACTTCCTAACAAGTGGGTGTTTTGCATGTAATTAATCACCACATGGCTTTCACCACCCCATTGACAATAACAAATCCTCATGTGTGAAAATTTGAGTTCATCATATCCATAATGGTTTCTTCCATAAGATCATCGAAGATAGCTGCTTCTAAGGAAAGCCCAATCTCCCTTGCCTCAGGCTTCAATTGGTTCCTTTTCTCTCTGAGTCTTGCAAATTCTGAAACTACTATCTGCGTCAGGCTGGTTACATCTCCTTTTTCCCTCTCCCATGAAAAAATCAGCTCATTCATTGACTCTTCAAACAGCTCAGAGTTCAAACAACCATGGAAGTTCCAAATTCTCCCCTCTGAGTCGCTCAAGCAGTCAAACAGAAGCCTTCTACTGTTACTAAAATTTACCTTCTTCTGGCACAGGGATTTCTCACGAGTTTCCTTTAAGTTGATGGAGCTTGAGGGCAATGGGCATTCATCTTTGATTGATGCAGCAAAGGAAAAACAATGAAGCAGCATGGATACATATATATTACTCATAAAGGGGGGAGAAAGGAGGTTAGAAAACAGGAAAAAATATACTTACTTTGTTTACCAGAAGGGTAGCTTTCATCAGAATGCTGCAACTCAACCAAGAAGAAATCAAAGATGTTGGATCTTTTATTAGCGGCGGTCTTCCTATCCAAATGCAAGGCCTTCCTGAGGGCCTTGCAGTAGACAAGATTGACGATTACACGTCTCAGGAAGCCAGCTACTCTGCTCCTCCTAATGCCCCCATGGCTTCCAAACTTACGTAGTCTCTTGCCAGCAGCATTTAAAGGCCAGCAGGAAGGTGAAGACGGAGACCTTACGATCCTGCCTGAGCACCCATTCTCAAGAAGGTAGACTTCCATGAGGAAAGGCTCCTGTGGCTGCTCAAGAAGCTCGTAAAGCCTCCTACCAACCAGCTCGGGAGGATTTGAAAAAGGTAAAGGAGCCATTCGCTCTACAGTAAGAGAGAGCTCAGAAGAGAAAGAGGACAATAAAAATGGATGGCAGAGAAGAGTGGGGAACGGGCCCATATATAAGTAATATTGAGCCATAATGAGGCATGTTTTACCTAATAAACAGAAAGCACCTGAATAAATTGAAACATATATAAGCAGTTATGACGGTTGGGTTCTACTGTTGTTATACCCTTATAAACCAACCTCCATCAAATCATTAGGTTGTAAATCAGCTCCAGCGTACCAATCTCCTATTTCTGATTAAAATGAAGCACTAATGAACAGGTCTATGATTTGGGAGAGTTCACTAAATTGAAGGAAGCTTGAATACGATGAACCTGAACTGGAGGATACCTGTAGGTATTTTGCATCAGATAGGGACTTGTTAACTTTTGATCACCTGCAGTGTGAGATTACGTAGTAGAACAGTAGAGTATAAGAGAAAGGAAATACGCAAAACAGAGGAGCAGAATATTCATCTTCAGTTTCTACATATATCTATATTAACTATAGAGCTAAAAAAGTACATGTATACATTAAGAGAAGGAATTAGAAGCAGCTATAAAGCAAAGGCTTAGATGAATGTAACAGTGATCCAACGGCTGCAAATAATAGTTCTGTAAAGGTATGATGCTGGAACATTTCTAGTGGAGCTGTGAGCTGTAAATGCTATAACTGCATCAACTTATCAGTTGTTCTACTCACACCCCCTCAAGTTGACAATGGTAGGTTCAATTGTTAACTTGTCACCAAGTTGAGAAAAATGTTGAGAGCTAAGAGATTTCATGAATAAGTCAGTTGGTTGATCTATGGACGCTAGGTGACAAACAACAATGTGATGAAACTTGATACAATTTCGGATAAAGTGAACATCAATTTCGATATGCATTGTTCGAGCATGAAAGACCGGGTTGTCTGTAAAGGCATGTGTAGACAAATTGTCACAGAAGAGTTTGGTCGGATGGCAAATAGAGATACCAAATTCTACTAATAATATTCAAAAGCCAAATGATACCTAATACGAAGTAGAAGAAGTTTCAACCAAATCAACAAACCACAAGAGAAATTGGGAAGAAAAGCACACCACAATTTTTTTATTTTAGAAAATATGAAAGAGAACAAACAATATACAATGGATCATAAATTGAAGAGGAAGATCCAACTCTCCCAAATCTCTAGCTTACAGCTAGAACCGTCACAACCTATGAACAAACTAAATTCAACAAACACATGACATATCATAACCCTAGGGTAAATCAACTATTTAAAGCAAACAATAAAAAAAAAAATCAAAACAGCCCTCCCTTAATTCCCTCCGAAATCAATCCCCAATCTGCCATATTTTCTTAAATAAATCAGCCTTCAAATCAGCCCCCAAATCTACCTTCTTCAATTAGAAAATAATTCATAATTAATCCCCTCTAAATCAGCCCCCCAAATCAGTCATCTTCAATTAGGAAATATTTTATAATTAACCCCCTCCAAATTAACTCCCAAATATACCATCTTCAATTAGGGAATATCTCCTAATTAATTCCATCAAAATCAACCCTCAAATCAACCTCTTTCTCTTAATAAAACATTCCTAAATCCCTCCCAAATCTAAATCCAAATTAGCCATCTTTCCCTAAATAAACTTTCATAATCATTTCTCTCATGATTTCTCCTCCTTACATAGTGAATATTAACTCCCCTGGGCCCCACAAGGTGGGTCCCCTTGGCATATCAATACTTTCCCCCAAAAAAAGCATGTTGCCCTCAAGATGGAAGATAGGAATGATCTCCTAATCACCTCATATGGCTCTCATGTGGTTTCGTACTCCAACAAATCCGTCCACCTAATAAGTACTTCCTAAATAATAAACCAGGATGCTAAGAACATATTGAGAGCTCAATAAGACCATTCCTTGAGATGATTGTTTTTTTATCCTCTTCAATTTGTTTGTTGAAAGTTTTGAGTTGCCCCTTTTCCTTATCATCAATCATTTACATCTTCAACTTTCTCACCCTAGAATCGCTACTGCCCCAATAGTTGCTTCCTTCTCTTATGTAGTGGTTGTCATAACCCCTCCATGCTTTCCCCTTATATCGAGGATGGGAATCCCACTTTTCTTCCACCTACCTCACATGAACCAATCCCCATGGCTTGACTTGTCCCCCTCCTCCAGTCATCAACACCCCTTGCCCATAAGACCTCTCATAGTGGTCGACCACCCCATCAAAAAACCCTATTATGTCCCATATTGGAGCCCTAAAAGGTAGCTCTTAACCCCGTCCTTCTCCGATGGCCCATTCCCCTTGCCTGAAATACCACTTATAGTAGTCGATCACCCTCCCATAGTGCGGTCCCCTCAAGCCAGAAACCTTGATCCGCCCCTTATAAGAGCCCTAGGAGATGGGTGTCGATAAAAGTACTTCGAATTCTTCTCGCCCGATCTCTTTTCCCTTAGATTCTGCCAAGGGAATCTCGGACAAATCGTGGTTAGGGTTAGTCATCGGAACCGCCAGTGAAGTTTTGGATTGCATCTCAATAAGCTTCTTAATCATCTCCTCCAAAATTTTCTTTCCCTTTAGTTCAGCCCTAGAAATAGCCGACAAAGCCTTCGATTGCATCTCGATCAACTTCCTTATCATATCTTCCAGGTTAGAAAGCCTTGCTTCCATGGATGAAAACCTCCTCTCCAAGCCGGATTTGATTGCTCCATCTTACTTTCCAAAGCCTCCACCTTCTTCGCTATCATAGGTCCCAAAAAAGTACTTTGATACCAATTTGATACGAAGTAGAAGAACTTTCAACCAAATTAGCAAACCATAAGAGAAATTGAGAAGAAGAACACACCATAAGTTTTTTTATTTTAGAGAACAAATAAGATACAATGGATCTTCAATTAGAGAGGAAGATCTAATTGAAGATCCGACTCTCCCAAATTTCTAACCAGCAGCTAGAGCCCTCACAACCTAAGAACAAATTAAATTCAACAAACACAACATATCCTAACCCTAGGGTAAATTAACTATTTAAACCAAACAGTAAACAATAAAATACCAAAATAGACCTCCTCTAATTCCCTCTCAAATCTACCCTATTTTCTTAAATATTTCTCTCCCAAATCAGCCCCTAAATGTCTTCTTTAATTAGAAAATAATTCCTAAATAATACCATCCAAATCAACCATCTTCAATTAGGAAATATTTTCTAATTAACCCTCTCTAAATCAGCCCCCAAATATGACCTCCTAAATTAGAAAACACCTCCTTATTAATTGCACCCAAATCAACCCCCAAATTAGTCTTTTTCCCTTAAGAAAACATTCATAATTCCCTCCCAAATCTGAATTCAAATCAGCCATCTTTTCTTAAATAAACTTTCCTAATTATTTCTCCCATGATTTCTCCTACTTACACAGTGAATACTAACTCCCTTGGGCCCCAAATGGTGGGCCCCCAAGCCTATCAATATCACAGGCAGCCATGGACAAGGCTCTATATAGTATATTCAACTTCAATAGAAGATTTGGCCACAAAGGTTTGTTTTTGACACTCCAAGAGCTCAAGGTTGAACCAAGAAAAGAGCAGTAACCTATGATAGAATGACGATCAATGTTGTATGCAGCCCAATCTACGTCTGCATATGCCTGTAAGTCAAATGTGGAGTGAGAAATAAGCAAGCCAAGATGGAATTTGCCTTTAATGTAATGAAGTACTTGCTTGAGCACCTGAAAATGAATGAGAAACATATCCTAACCCTAGGGTAAATTAACTATTTAAACCAAACCGTAAACAATAAAATACCAAAATAGACCTCCTCTAATTCCCTCTCAAATCTACCCTATTTTCTTAATTATTTCTCTCCCAAATCAGCCCCTAAATTTGTCTTCTTTAATTAGAAAATAATTACTAATTAATACCATCCAAATCAACCATCTTCAATTAGGAAATATTTTCTAATTAACCCTCTCTAAATCAACCCCCAAATATATCCTCTTAAATTAGAAAACACCTCCTTATTAATTACACCCAAATCAACCCCCAAATTAGTCTTTTCCCCTTAATAAAACATTCATAATTCCCTCCCAAATCTGAATTCAAATCAGCCATCTTTCCTTAAATAAACTTTCCTAATTATTTCTCCCACGATTTCTCCTACTTACGTAGTGAATACTAACTCCCCTGGGCCCCAAATGGTGGGCCCTTAAGCGTATCAATATCACAGGCAGCCATGGACAAGGCTCTATATTCAACTTCAATAGAAGATTTGGCCACAAAGGTTTGTTTTTGACACTCCAAGAGCTCAAGGTTGAACCAAGAAAAGAACAGTTACCTATGATAGAATGACGATCAATGTTGTATGCAGCCCAATCTACGTCTGCATATGCCTGTAAGTCAAATGTGGAGTGAGAAATAAGCAAGCCAAGATGGAATTTGCCTTTAATGTAATGAAGTACTTGCTTGAGCACCTGAAAATGAATGAGATATGGATTGTGTATATGTTGACATAAACGGTTTACAGCAAAAAGAATATCTGATAGGGTTGTTGTCAAGTATTGAAATGATCCAAAGAGCTGTCTATAATAAGCGGGCTGAGGATAAATTGCAGAATCAGCCTCTATATGAGGAATTTTAGTGGGTGAAGATGTTAAGACAAGTTTGCAATCTGTTATTCCAGCTTTAAGCAGTAAAACAACAGTACAACATGATTGATTTAGATGAAGACCTGCAGGAGTATAAGTAAACATGCAAATCAAGACAGAAACCGAGACTTTAAAGAAGAAAGGTCTTCTGATGTAGAACGGGTAGGAGGATTGGGACCTAAGTGGCTTGAAGAGCAAATCGAGGGGTCTAAACAGCAGCTTTTGACTCTTAGAAGTCTTGGATAGCAACTCTTCTTCCAACACAGCAGCAAGAGGTCTTCCAAGGGCTGAAGAAGAATGGTGGACAGCAGTTTTCCTCTTCCAGATCGACAATTTTAGAACTTCCAAGAGGTGTTGATGCAAGACAATGAAGGAGACTTTATGCTGCAGTTGGAGGAAGGAGTGGAATCACTGTCACGTCGAGTTTGGGGAGTTTAATGGAAGAGATCCCACGGGCAAGGCCTTGGGAAAAATCTGCCAGCAGGGATTTAAGGCAAAGATTTACTTCTAGAGAAAAAAAAAAAGAGGCTGATTTTAGTAGGATTTAGGCGGTGCAGGCATAGAGGAGATTTCGGCCTGACTAAGGGCTGAAATTGGTAGTCTTTCCTAATGCATATATGGGTTTTAGGAAATAAACTTTGGCATTTATTGTAGAGGGGGATCAGCGGCTTAATGATGAGGGAGGGGATTGGGGGAGATGATTTAGGTTACTTAAATTAAGAAATTAAATTTGGAATGAAAGATTTCATCCAATTTAATTTGAAATTTAAAAAGGCTATAAAATAGGAAGTTACCAAAAATAGGATTATAAATTAGATAACTATTTTAAATTCAAATAGATTTGAATTTACTCATGAATAGAGTTACATAAAATATAAAAGACTATTTTAGGAAAGGTTTAAGGGCAAGTTGGTGATGGAGGGAAAAACCAAGAGGAGGGAAAATTTAAAAACTTTCCTAAAATAGATTTTATAATTTAGGAAAGAATTTGAATTTCAAATTTGGAGAAATTTGAATTCAAAGACAAACTAAATTATATGGCAATCCAAAATTAGGAATTATTCAAATTAGGCAATAGGGAATGGGAGAGGGTGTGGCCGGCTGTTTGAATGGGGCGGGTAAGGGGCCGGCGGCAAGGTGGAGATGGAGACGACATGATGGTGGAAGTAGGAAGAGGATGAATATGACTACGAGGAGCAATAAAAAGAAACAAAAAACAGAGAAACAAAATATCAAAGATACAACCGCGAGCCCGGACACATCCTGCGGCTGGAGGGTACTACATTGCCCTTCTCCAAGGAACTTCACACCACGAGCCCGGACCCATCCTGCGGCTGGTAGAAACTCCGACTCCCTCCCATAGGGATTTCACTGAAGTTCTTCCCAAAGAACATAAGTGCAAAACACAAGTTTTTTTATTATAATTCCATCCTCCCTAATACAAGAGAAGGGGCCTCTATATATAGGCCTCAAAAGAAATTAAAAGACACATTTGCCCCTTAGGCTTATATAAGACAAGAGGGTAAAAAAGGGAAATTGCAAAATTAAATAAAATATACTTAATAAACTAAAATAAAACAAAGTGATCTCGGTCGTCGCTCTTCAGCTCCTCCTCAGATAGGCATGGACGGTTGGATGTCCGCATCATCTTCAATTGCATCATTCACATTACTAGTAAGGAGAATATCATCCACATACAGAAAAATATAAATCTAGTTGACCCACAACCATAGAATTGTTGCAATAATAAATGTGCACATAACAAAATAATTGATTTTTATGAACCAAAACATAAAAATGAAAAAAAATGATGATGAGCAAGTGCTATTTTGGTGTACATCACGAGCAATAGATATCTATATTAACTATAAAGATGCAGGAGTACATTTATATATTAAGAGAATGAATCAGAAGCAGTTATAAAGCAAAGGCTAAGATGAATGTAACAGTGATCCAACGGCTGCAGATAATAGTTCTGAAAATGTATGATGCTGGAGCAGTTCTAGTGGAGCTGTTAGTCGTAAATGCTATAACTGCATCAACTTATCATTTGTTCTTATCAGGACCCACCAACGAGTATTGATGGCTAAGATGATTAACGAATGGTTTGCACAATGCTCTGAAATGATTGGTGTTGCAATTAGAATGGTGGTGGTGTTTGCCTCTGAATGACTTCTATTTGGCGTTTACAAAATGGACAGCCACGCGGCAGTCGGCACAACTATAATATAATCACCAACTCACGTCTCTGATAGAATCAGACACAGAGGTGAATAAGTATGGTCTTCCATATTTCTGCATGCTTGCATGTATTCTCGAATGGATTCTGTAATAATAAAAAAACTTCATATTCTAACTTGTCCTGTGAAGCTACGTTCAAGTAACACTAAAACTTGTTTTGAGCCAACTTCCTCAGTTACACATCAGTGACAGCGAACTCGTTGGTCCAGATTACTAAGTCTGAGAGAAAACAGTTCAGAATCTCTTCTGAGAGTGGTAATACGAGGTCTATAGTATCAAAATAGCTTAGTGAGAAAAAACGAAACTCTGCATGTCAAAAAAAAAATGAAAAAGCCAAAAGAAAAATATAACCCAGTGAACATTATGAATGAAGAAATAATACTGAAGCCACAAATGGCAAAACGTTACTACATACAGTCCACGACTTTAATCATGTCTGTAAATAAATGAAAGAGAACATCAAAACAAATAACATAATTGAAGGATGATCAATTAAAGACCAGGAAAGCTAAGCGGTAGATTTTTTTACAGTGTTTGAAGTACTTTCATGAATGAACCAATAAACATAATTCAATTATCATATGATTTGGGAGCTGGAGAAGTTCTCAATCATGGTTTTTGATTTTGAATAAAGGGAATTCAGCAAACACTCCCGCTCGGCAAATACAAGGCCAAACAGCCGAATCTCCTCTTTAAGATCTCTCATCTTTTCTCTTTCATAGTTCAGATCTTTCTGTAATTCATCTTTCTGAGCTTTAAGGAGCACAACATCGTGGTTAGAGTAAGAGAGAGTTTGAACTAAGGAAGAGTTTTCTTCTCTTAACTGACTATATTTTCTTTCCAGCATGTCATATTGTTCCTTCAATGCATCAACCTGAAGGGCTTGAAGTTTACATTCAGATGCCAAGTTGAGGCATCTTTCCTTGGTATTCCATTCTTCCAAATCAGTTCCCTTCAGAAAAAACACCAGTTAGTACATGAGGTCCAAACCATGGAAAGACAAGAACAACATAAGACTATACCAAAGTAAAAAAAAAAATCAATCGCAAATTTTTTGAGACTAGTCACAATTGACAGGACCTTGTCTATGCTTTCAATATAGAATATATGGATTATGGAGTATTGTAGTTAAGGTTGCAAATGAAATGAGCACTCGATAAGCTACATGTGGTTCGGCTCTAGCTCATTCATGATCATTTGATTATGTAATCAAACAAGTTTGAATATTTTTTTTTAAATACTCAATGGTTAAATAAGCAAACTTGAACAACTATTTGTCTAACTCGTTGATGTTTATGAACAATATTATTTGAAGCTCGTCAACAAGGTCATTAAGAAATTGGATTAATGTTCGATTTGAAGCTCGATAAGTTTTGTTATGAAAATAATGAGCAACCTAATATGAATGTTTATATTTATTATAATTTAATAACATAAATAAATACTAATCATTAATTAAATTTTCAAAACTAATTAAACATTATAGCATTTGTTAATTAGCGATACATATTCATGCTTGTTGGATTGTTTGTTTTGAGTATTCATTAAGAAGTTTGTTTATTAAAAGTATCATTTTATAAGCTTGACAAGCTACTCATTTGTAAACTCAAAAATAATAGTTAGGTTGGCTCGTTTAGCGCTCGAAAGCTCATTAATAACTCGATATAGTTCAAATGAGTTACTCGTTTGAAGCTCGATAAACACAATATGAACCAAATATAAGCCAAACACAAACAAAACTCGAACATATGTCATATTAAACAAGCCAAACTTGAACACAAATAGAAAAGCTTAAATCAAGCTCGAGCTGGACTCAAACAAGCTAATAGTAAACAAGCTCAAACATGAACAAGCATCTGTTCGACTTGACTCGGTTTGTTTGTGTTAGACCGGTCCAGCCGGTCCAGGCGGGACCGGCTCACGGGCAAAATAGCGGAACCAGGCGGAATCCTGGCGGAGAACGAGCGGCCGACCGCTCAAACAGAGCGTTTTAGAAAGGATTTTTGGGGGGGTTTCAAAGAGAAATTTGAATGTAGGGACTGTTTAGGGAATTCCTTTTGATTTGTTTGCATTAAATATATGTCTTTCCTAGGGTTTGGGGATCTTGAATTGGGCTGAAATTTGAGATCTCGTAGATTTAGGATTTCTTTGGGCTCTAGCGGCGTCTAGAGAATTGGGAGAGATCGATCCTCCTCTCGAATTGAGGATCAATTGTATCTTTGCTATTTCCTTGCAACTACTAGTAAAATACAAGTCTTTTCTCGGATTTTTCTGCAGTTTTTCCTGTTTTCCTACTGTTTTTGGCTGTTTTTCTACTGTGGACAGCAATTTTACATTGGATCTACTTGGTTTTGGTGAGAAACACTTGGAAATCCAAGTGTTTCCTATAAGTTTGCAGCCCAAAATGTGGTTAATTGAATATATGTTCTCATTTATAAATTAGTTTATGTAAAATCATGCTGCTTTTTTTGCAGTTTTTACTGACAGATCCATCAACACAATGTCAATTTTTTCCCTTTGCATTACAAAAGCAAATTTAATTGAGAACATAGACAAGTAAAGCACGTGTGACATCGGACGCTACCCGTCACAGGGACGAATAGAGAAGATGCTGCAAGAAGAACCTCAAGTTCTTCGGTAGCAGCTCCTTCACGCACCACCTAAGGGAATTAAGCAACGGGGAAGAGGAGGACCACTACCTGACAAGAAGGTCAGGGTACAGACAAACCCAGGGGAAAAGGGATAAAACACAAATCAAATCTCTATCTTATTCAGGAAATAATCACCTGGTTATATACAAGTATGCGGATGCAAGAAAAAGGCAAAAAAAATAAAACTTCCAACTACACAAAAGCTACACAGACAAATAAAAGAAAAAAAAAAAGACTATGCTATAAAATCTGAAGTTGCTAGAATTGTGTAGCAGATATCAGCGTCAGGCTACCGGGGTAAGAGGAACTTCAAGTTCGTAATAGGGCGAGAGATCCGCTACGTTGAAGGTGGCACCTGGTAGTTCAATTTGATAAGCATTGTCGCCAATCCTTTTGAGAATTATGAATGGACCGTCAGCCTTTGGTTTTAATTTACCGAATGCGCCAGGAGGAAACCGCTCCTTTCGGAGACGGATCCAAACTTTGTCACCCTCGTTGAACTGTATCGCCTTGCGGGTCCGCTTGGCAATATTCTCACATTTCTTATTATGTGTGTGGATCATTTCTTGCACTTTCTAATGCAGTTGTTTTATCTCCTCACTTCGTTGGGCTTCTTCTATGTTATAATTGCTAGAAGGAACTTGAGGAATGAGATCTAAGGGTGATAGTGGGTTAATGCCATAAACTGTTTGAAAGGGACTATGCCCGGTTGCTTGATTGGTAGATCTGTTAAATGCGAACTCCACTTGAGGCAACACCAAATCCCACTGTCGCAAATTCTTTCCCACAAAGCATCGTAATAGGTTGCCAAGACTTCTGTTGACGATCTCCGTTTGACCATCCGTTTGAGGATGGGCGGTAGAACTGAACTGGAGTTTGGTCCCTAATTTACTCCATAATGTCTTCCAGAAATGACTCAAAAACTCGACATCTCGGTCAGATATAATGGTCTTAGGGATACCATGTAATCGTACTATTTCCCGGAAATATAAATCAGCGACGTGTGTGGCATCCAACGTTCTGTTGCATGGTACGAAATGGGCCATTTTGGAAAAACGGTCCACAACAACCATAATCAAATCTTTGTTCTGTTGGGTTCGAGGAAGGCCTAATACAAAGTCTAGGCTCATGTCAACCCATGGCCCTTCATGAACGGGCAGGGGAGTATATAGTCCCAGTTTCTGGCTATGAGTCTTGGCCGTAATACACACTCAGCATCTTTTAATGAATCGTTCCACATCACGGGAAAGAAGAGGTCAGTAAAAATTTTCCTTGATTAAAGCAAGGGTCTTGTCCCTTCAAAAATGGCCAGCCATCCCTGATTCGTGGCACTCACTGATAATGGCTATACGGATAGAACCTTTCGGAATGCACAGTTGGTTTCCGAAAAACAAATAGTCATGCTTCCTATGATAGAACTGATAGGGTCCGTCTTGGCACTGGAGCTAAATGCTGCCAAAGTCTGGATCTTCTGGGTACAGCTCCTTGAGTAGTTCAAATCCCGTTACCTTCGTATGTAAGGTTTGGATTACAGCGAGCCGTCGACTGAGTGCATCAGCTACTTGGTTGTTTTTACCTGACTTATGTTTTAGAACAAAATGGCAGGCACCTAGATACTCGACCCAAGCAGCATGTCGGCCTTTTAATTTATTTTGACTGTTAATAAATCGCAATGCCTCATGGTCTGTGAATAAAATAAATTCATAGGGTAGCAAGTAATGCTCCCAATGATGTAATGCTCTAACAATAGCATAAAATTCTTTATCATAGACGGAGTATTTTTGATGTGCTTCATTTAGTTTCTCACTAAAAAATGTAATGGGGTGCCCTTTCTGACTGAGAACAGCGCCAATTCCGGAGTTTGAAGAGTCACAATCTAATTCAAATACTTCATTAAAATCAGGTAACGTGATGGGTGCCGTCAACACTGCGTGTTTTAGGTGTTCGAAACCTTTGTGGGCGGAGGGAGTCCATTGGAAACGTTCAGCCTTGATTAGTTCGGTGATAGGTGCAGCCATGGAGCTGAAGTTCCATATGAAACTGCGGTAGAAGGACGCAAGGCCGTGGAATTGGCGAACATCGGTGAAAGATTGCAGTATAGGCCATTGTACAAGGCTTCTCATGTTTTGAAGGTCGTTTTCCATTCGTCTCCCAGTCGCACCCGTATTTGATGGTACCCGCTTCTTAAATCAATTTTAGAAAATATGGTCGCTCCATGTAACTGGTTGAAAATGTCATCTATACGAGGTATGGGGAAACGATATTTTATTGTGATTTTGTTGATGGCGCGACTGTCAATACACATACGGTAGGTGCCATCTTTTTTTGGAACCAAAAGCGCGGGGACGGCGCATAGACTGGAGCTGGGGCGAATAAAACCTTTGTCCAATAGTTCATCTATTTGTCGTTGTAGTTCCCTGTATTCATTAGGCCGGAGTCGGTAAGCAGGTAGGTTGGGCAAAACGGCACCGGGTACCAGCTCCATGTGGTGTTGAACCTCACGGAGAGGGGGTAATCCCGAAGGCAACTCTTGTATGAGAATGTCTCCATACTTCTGTAGTAGTGGCCGAATCACTTCAGGTAAACACTGAACGGATGGGTTTTCTTCTATGAGGATCAAGAAAAAACCTTGCTGAGCGACTCTAAGATCTTGCATGAACAGACCCCTGTTGAACAAAGAAGTAGATGACGAATCTTCTGCTTCAATAACCAATGAGGGTGATAGCTCGATTTGTTGATCATGGTGCATAAATGAATAAGTGTTCGCGGTTCCATGGTGTACAGTATCTTTGTCGAATTGCCATGGTCGGCCTAACAGAAGATGGCACGCATCCATGGGAACAACATCAGATAAAACGCGGACTTGAAATTGGCCGATGGAAAAATCTACCAGACATCGTTTGTTCACCTGGACCTCAGTGTTCTTCTGTATCCACGAAAGAGAATACGATTTAGGGTGATCAGTTGTAACAAGTTGTAATTTGTCCAACATGAGAGCGGCCACGACATTCTCGCAGCTTCCACTATCTATGATCATATTACACACACGTTCTTTAACTGAACACCAAGTCCGGAAAATACTGTGTCGCAGCCAGGAATCACCCTTGTGTGTATTCAAGGATTGTCTCAAAACAAGCAAGTTTCCTTCGTCCCCCTTTAAATACATTGGCTCAACAGATGTAGAATTCTCAGGATTATGGGCAGTGGAGGCATCGGAGGGTTCTTCAGTTTCTGATTCTTCCATAAGAGTGACCACCCGACGGTTTGGACAGTTCGAAGCAATGTGTCCAAATCCTTGGCA